AACCTGTCCACCACTACTCTCTGGGTGCGCCCCATCAGCCAATTTTTTTACCCATCCAACTGTGCAGGCATCAATGCCACAGTCGCTTAATTTATTGATGAGGATGGGGTGAGAGACAGTGTCAAAGGCCTTCTTAAAGTCTAGAAAGACTATGTCCACAGCGACACTATCATCTAAGGATTTAGTTACTTGGTCGTAAAAGGCAATCAGGTTGGTCTGGCAGGACCTGCCTTTGGTGAAGCCATGCTGATTGCCCCTGAGCACGATCTCCCTTGCAGGCCCCCCACAGATATGCTCCTTGATGATCCTCTCCAAGAGCTTCCCAAGCACCGAGGTGAGGCTTACAGGCCTATAATTTCTTGGGTCCTCCTTCCTTCCCTTCTTAAAAATAGGGACCATGTTAGCCAGTTTCCAGTCCCCCGGCACTTGGCCAGATGACCATGAATGCTCATACAGCTGGGCCAAAGGCTCTGCGATGACCCCTGCCAGCTCCCTCAACAACCTTGGGTGGAAGGCATCTGGACCTGCAGATTTAAAAATGTCTGGCCCTTCCAGAAGATCCCTAACTACATCTGCACTGACTGAAGGCTTGATAGAGCTATCCCTAAGATTGTCCCTACCTCTGGTAGGTGGGATATCCCAGTCCCTGTTAGGAAAACAGAGGCAAAGAAACTGTTTAAAAATATCAGCTTTCTTGTTTGGCATGGCCACCAGATTTACGGTTTGTCTTGCAGGGGCCCTACATTGCCTGGAGCCCTCTTCTTGCTCCCAATGTACTTGAAAAAGGACTTTTTGTTGTCCTTAATCCTGAACGCTAGCCTGAGTTCCATCTCTGCCTTGGCCTTCCTAATAGGCCTTCTACACTCCTGGGCCGAGGAGGAGTACTCCTCCTTGGTGATAGTTCCTCCCTTCCACTGGTTGTATGCCTCCCTCTTAGTCCTCAGGCATTGCTGAATGCCCTTGCTGAGCCAAGGGGGCTTCTGAGCACTCTTACCCCAACTTGCTTCTCTCAGGGACTGTTATCCTTTGGGCCTGGAGGATTGCCCCCTTAAGGTACGACCATCCCTCATGGGCTCCCATCTTCTCCACCTCCACGTGGGTTTATTTTCATCTGTTTCCTTTTTTCTCCAAAACTATATGCGTTTCTGTCATTTTGAACGCAAACTGATGATTTTGGGTGATAAGTTGGCCTGGAAATAACCCTCGTCTTTTCTTATAATTTATGAGTTTCAGTTATGTCTCCCATTTGTTGATCCCATTGCCATTATTTTGGGGGGAAATCCAGGATGTTGATTTTTCTGACCCAAGAACAATGGGTCAGTCCTCATACACTGAATCATTGGGCACCATGCAGGACTCAGTTTCACAGATAGGGTAGCGTGATGCAGCATGGGCTGTCTAATGCACACAGCAAAATTGCGTGGTATCAGTTTTGGGGAGAATGCACCATTAAAGGGCCTGGATTTTTCAGCTGGTAAAAATTGGCAGCAGTGAAATCAATGAATCTGTATAGCTTTTTACAACTGAATATCTGGCTTGAGTATGAGACCACTAAAGAAGATATACCACCTATACCTACTCCTTACATTGTCCTTGAAAGGCTCCCCAAGATAAATAGAACCAGATTTAGAAACGATGAAAACATCCAAAACATAGACAGTTGCAGAGATTTGTGATAATGATTTATCTTGACTATCACATTCTCCTAGATAAAACAGAAGGAAATTTCTGCCTGCCAAACAGAAGATTCAGGAGCTCTCTAGAAAGTGAAGCCTTCACACAGCAAGAAATCTGAACTGAGTAAAGACACAGAATTCTACAAAATAGAAACTTCTGATATGGTGATGTTGCTTTCTCTTGTGAACTACAGCATTTAGCTTTGCTTCTCTGTAGCTGTTCTTTATATGAATCGACCCATGATAAGAGTGGAGCAGACCTAGAAAATCTGTCCGATCTGTTCATGTATCTTAATAATGGTTCTGCCTGACAAATTACTTCTAGTAATGGCACATTTTAAGAAGCCTACTGTTCAGTGATATGCTCCTAGTTTGCTGTTTCTCCAGCGAAGGGACTAACTTAGACTAATTAGCAAGCGGCATTCTCACTCAGTAGAAAAGAGCTTACACACTGTTTTCAAAATCTGCCTTCCTTGAGAATTGTAAATTTAAACAAAAATGGCAGAAATACAAGCCCCATCCTCCTAAGGGTTGGCAAGTTCTTCTGGGTGGTGGGGGGAGGGGGGGGTTGTTGTTTTGTTTTTCTCATTCTGACATTTCTGTCTATATCCCTGTCCCAGAAAGGATTAAAGGTGGTAGAGTGTTTTGCTTTGTTTTTATTATTTAGTCAGCATGTTTTAATTATCTAGGACATTAGTGTGGACAAAGCAAATTGTACTTTAATGCCTGGTAGCTGGTCAAGCTGAAACTTAAAGGAAACCTGAGGTTTCAACTTGATCACCTAAGGTGCTAAAGGGCAGCTTGCCCTGCCAATACTACTGGTTCTTAAATGTGATAGGTAGCGCACATTCAATGAAACACCATTTCATTTTAGTCGTGGATGAGTACTAGGAAATTTACTCAGCAACTTCCTGCTAGCTATCTAATACCCCTTAGAACAGGGAGGTCAACAGAATAAGGAAGGCCTTGTTATGTTTAGAAACAGTATGGGAACAAGAACATGACTTCAGTTTTGTTATTAAACATATCGCAGTGAAACATCTCTGGCAATTTGTCCATGACAAAACAAAGTGGATTGCAACCTGGCATATATGTGTACTAGTAGTTTTGGGCAGAGAACAGTTCTTTGAACCTGTGAGAGAAAGTTGTGTATCTAAAAGAAATAGAAATATTGGCTTCTTTTATTTTTTTCCCTGTGAGTTGTGCTGTTTCTGTGTCTTGTACAGTATTATATTACCACTTAGAGAATGAAAAAGGCTCTAGCATTAAAACAGAAAAACTACACAAAGTAAACAGCTATTTGTATTGTTGTTTGCCTCTGCTTTCCTTGACTAGAAAATACTGCTTCAAACTCATGTTTGGCAAATAAAATCGCAGTGTTTGGGGTTTGTTTGGTTGGGTTTTTTCGGCTTTCTTTTTTTTTTTTTTTTTTTTTTTTTTTTTAAGGATTTTATTTTGAGCTAATTTAGTGTCTCTGAGAATAAGATTGACAGAACATTGGAAACTGGTGTCTTTTGTATTTATCTTCAGAAGAAGTACATGCACTGCAGGCTTCCATATGTAGTCTTGATAACCTGTCTGTCCTCTTTTCAGAATATCACATTCAGTTCAGCCCACAGTTAATTCCTGGACAATCCTTCCTTTCTGGTTGAGTCTACAAACAACAGTGAAATTTAACTGTTATGTGCCTATGGTATAGGCACACACATCATGGAAATGATACTTAGTATTTTACACAAATCACTGAACAGACTGATCTTAAGAGGGACTGACCACACCTAAGAGACTCTAATTCAGATTTTATCATGAGCCAAGGCCTTCTTGCAGTCAGCTAATTTTTGAACACATGATTGTGGTAAGATTACATGAAAGTTTTCCCTGTAGAGAGAGGGGTATATGTATGCAACATAACAGTGCATTGGACCTGATCAGACTACACACAGCAGGACACTATCATTCCAACTAAATAATCACAATGAAAATTCTAGTTAAGGGTGAAATTCTGTCCCAAAGTCCACTAATCTCTTATTTCTTTCTTATAACAGAATGTGTTTGTTTTAAATGTGGGTCATTTCTGATGGTCATTAATATACTACTTGTCTACTGGGTAGTTGTCATCCCTACAATGTCATGTGGATATGAAATGTGGGTGACCTATTGGAAACAGTTGATATCTTTGGAACTTACTATCAGTGTTATCTTTGGAAATCCCACATGTCAATTGGAAGGACAGAAGAATGAACACCAGCATTCTGGCTCAAGCAAATACCACCAGCATTGCAGCCATGTTTATACTAGCTCTCTAGTAGAAGATCTGTGCTGCTACCCAGTCCATTCACATGGGGTGGATAATATAATGACCTCCAGGGAAGGTTAGCTGTGAAATAAGCAGAGGTAACTTTGCTGAATAAGCAGTCTTGAACCAAGCAGCAGCAGTACTACCAGGATGTGGTGGGGACAGCAGGTGGCAATACTCACCCTCCTGAAAAGCTGCTTATCCTCTGAGAGTGCTATGACATGGCAAGTACAGGTCATGACTCTAAGAAGCTTGTCCAGCCCCCAGCCATGGATCTACAAGTCTTCAGCAGCAGAGCAAACAGAAGAATCAAATGGCTGCAAAGGTTGTAGTGAAACAAGATCTCCAGTTATCTTGGCCTCCTTGCCATCGGATTAAGGTTCTGTTCTGTCAAGAAACACGTGGAAGCTGATGTGAAGAAGCTGCTGCTGCTTCTGCTGCTGCTGCACAATGAAAGAAATCGCTTCCATGAAAACAGCTTTAGTCCATTTTTTTTTTCTTTTTTTTTCATTCAAGCCTTTAGCTGACCAGCTAGTGATGATGGGAGCAGGATTGTGGGGCCTGGAAACTCCTAGTCATGAACTGGCACAAAGGTGGCAGTTACAAGAAGGTTGCCTAGCACTTGGATGAGGAAGAAGTGTGATTTGGCAGCTGTAACTAACTCAGCAGCCCTTTTTAGGATTTGCCATATGGGGAAGGGGCTAGAAAAAGTGCCCTAAACATAGTTTGCCTATTTTTTTCCTGATTAGATAATCACATCCAGTGGGATCACCTTTACTGTGGTCGAAATAAAGATGCACAATCAGTTTTGAGACCTAGAAAATCAGGACCTTCATGGACAATCCTCACAGTGAAAGTCTAAACTGCTGCACTACAATTTTATGGCTTGAACTCGGGTTACCCAACACTGACATTGCTGCACTGAGTGAGACCCAGTGAGTGGGGAATGGCCAGCTCAAAGAATGAGGCAGTGGCTATACCCTCTCTGGAAGGGTAAACAAGGCAAGTATTGACTTCATGGAGTTGAATATGCCATTAAGAATGAACTCTTAAACCAACTCAATGAGTTCCATATTGAAATTAATGAGCGCTTTAACTGTCAAATTTCTAGAGAGTCGATATGGCACTGTCATTTGCCTGTATGCCTCGATTCTTGACGTTGCTGATGGAATGAAGGAGGAATTCTATGCCAACCTTGACCAAGTCCTTTCCAATGTTCTGGAGGGAGATGGGCTCACTCTGCTTGGTGATTTCAATGCCAGAGTTAGAAGAGACTCGTGCCTCTGGAACAGAACAATCTGTTAGGAAGGAGTAGGAAAGGTTGACCCTAATGGCATCCTCCTCTTGGCCAAACGCACAGAAGATGGACTCGCTGTCACCAACACCCTGTTCTGCTTGGAAAAACAGGTACAAGACATCCTGGCAACACCCTCAATCTAAGCATTAGCACTTGATTGTGTCATCGTTCATGCTTGGAATCGCAAAGATGTCCATATCACTCAAGCAATGCTAGGAGCTGATGATTGCTGGACCGATCACTGATTCATCTGCTTGGTTATGTCAGTCAAACTGGCTCAAATGTTGGCTGCAGCAGAAGTAATGCTGATGGAAGGTCAATGTCAAATGATTTAAGGACCCAATTAAGGGAGACCTCTTCCACCAGCACCTAAATGAAAAACTGGTGAATTCCAAAAAACAGCAATAGAACAATGTTGGCAGCACTTTAGGTGCCTTCAGATCCACCACCAGCACCTGTGAAGAGATGTTTGGATTCTCTACCAGGAAACACCAAGACTGGTTTCATGAGAATGCTGTTGATCAACACTTGGATCTCCTGCTTGATCATAAGACGCTTTGTGTTTGGCAGAATGACACCAACTACAAGTAGAAGAAATTGAATCCACAACAAGCCAAGGCAGAGGTCCAAAGGAAGACCACTCAATACAAAGGACAGATGGTAGGAAGATGAGGTGAAGGAGATTCAATATAATATACCCTGTTTTTAAGTGCCGCCAAAGCCATCTACAGTCCGAACACTTGGGGACCAACCCCCTTGAGACCTAAGGATGGAGGGGACCTGATCAAGGAAAAGGAAGCCATCAATGTCTGTTGGAAGGAACATCTTGAAGACCTTCTCAATCAAGACTATTGACAAGAGTATTCCTAACTTCATCTCTCAACACCCAGTCGGAGATGATCTTGAAATCCTTCCAGCTCTTGACGAGTTGAGGAAAGCCATCCAGCTGATGAAGAGCAAGAAGGCATCTTGAGCAGATGGAATCCCTGCTGAAACCTTCAAATGGTGGTGAGGGGGAGGAGTTTACATCACTTCTCCATGCCCTTACCTTAAGGATCTGGAATGATGAGGAAATACCAGGTGATCTCCAGAGATGTCTTGAGCGTGACAATTGGGGGGGGGGGGGGGGGGGGGGCCGTGGTGGGGGGGGGGGGAGGGGGAGAGATGTTTCCAACTGGAAACCACATAGGTTTGCTGTCCACTACAGGAAAGATCATTGTGAGAACCTTCTTGAAGCGTTCCTCCTGGAATCTCAGTGTGAGTTTAGGGCATCAAAGAGGCACAACCAACATGATCTTCACTACTTTCCAGATACAGGAATAATGCTAGGAACAACATAAACCTCTCTCTATGGCCTTTCTTGACTTCATGAAAGTCTTTGCATCTGTCAACCAAGAAACTCTATGAAAGGTCCTTCTGAGTTACAGATGCCCACCAAAAGTTGTCATCATCATTCTTTGCCTGGTCTATTATTGTATGCCAGGGGTCTTCAACCTTTTTGGAGCAGTGTATCCCTGGCAGCCAGACATGGAACTGAGAGAAGTGGCACTGCGTGCAAGCTTTCCCCATATCTGGTTGGGCAGGTGGTGCCTGCAAAGCAGCACAGGATCATATGTGGTGGCTCTCTGTTCCCACCCACACATACCTCCTAGGGCCTTCTCAAGTACTGACAACTCCTGCTGTATGCAGCCATAGGTTCTCTGTAATGGATATACTGCAGATCCCTTTGAGGTTTAGAGTAGAGTTAAGAAGGACTGTCATTGCTCCAACACTTCTTGATGAGCCTTACCACAATACTATATCTGACCATCAAAAGGCTTCCATTCCATGTGGAGCTAAACTACTGAAATGGATATTAAGCTGTTTTAACCTTAACTGACTCCAAGTCAAAACCAAGAATACCCTGACCTCAACCATCAAGCTCCAGTATGCTGATGATGCTGTAGTGTGCATTCACTCAGAAGCTGAGCTTCAGGCAATTGTTGATGTGTTTACTGAGGTGTAAAAGAAAATGGGACTCATGCTTAACATTCAGAAGACTAAGGACCTCCATCAACAAGCTTTTAATGATCAGTCCCCAGCTCTGGTAACTCAGATTTATCAGAGAACTCTGGAGAACGTTGAGTATTTTCCTTACCTCGGAAGCCATGTCTTGCAGAAGGCTGACATCAAAGAAATCCAGCATCACCTCAAATGTGCAGCTACATCCTTTGGATGCCTGAGGAAATGGGTGTTTGAAGATTGTGACATGAGATTCAAAACGAAGCTTGTTGATTATCAAGCAGTCATGACTTTTTTACCTTACTGTATGGAGCTGAGACTTGTCTACAACTTGAGGTGTCTCCTGTATGTTGTCCAAGTACTGTCCATGTTGCCTGCAGGAGCTCCTTTGAATCCAATGGGAAGACAGATGCACCAAAGTTAGTGTCCTCTCACAAGCTAACATTACGAGCATCAAAGTGATGATCCTCTGACATCAACCTCCCTGGGCTGGCCCCATCATATAGAGATGTTTGCTTTCAGACTCCTGAGGCAAGTTCTATTTTCCTAGCTCAGCAAACGCATATGCTCAAGAGGAGGGCGGAAAAAGTGCTTCAAGGACAATCTCAAAGCCAACTTAAAAAAATGCAACATCAATTCA